ATTACATATGTATTATGTTTTTAATTGTAAAATCTCTTTTATATGTATATAATTAATAGAATATTATTTTATTAAAATCTGACACTCTTATTTGTCTATTATAATAATACTTAGTATAAAGACTCAGTAGAGATATTTAGACCAAGACACAAATTCTCTTAAGCACCAGCGACGGTGACGACTGCGAGAGAGAGAGAGAGAGAGAGAGACCTTACCCGCTTACTGTCGGCGTTGCCTGTGTGAAGAAAAAAAGAGGGGCCGCTGCTTTGACGCTCGAATGGAGAAGAAATGGTTGTAGTCGCTACTCTGACACTCGAATGGAGAAGAAGGAAGGGGCTGTACAGTATAGCCTGTACTACAGCCATTGTATTTACTGTACATGATCTACAGGTTTTTTTTCAAATCCTTTCAATTTCTATTTTAGGGTTTTTCGATTTCTTCTACTTCAGTTTCTACATCTTTAGGTCTAGGAATCTTCATGTAGAATTGGTCTTCTTCTTCTCCCCATCTCTTTTTTCTGGTTTTTTATATTGATCTACTGATGACTCGGTCTAACTTGGTGAGACTCGATACGACTCGGTCCGATTGGAACGATTCGACTCTGATTTTAACCGATATCTCCGAGTCGTGACCGAGTTAACGCCGATTCGCTTGAATCTTGTGTTATTCGCGTACGTTGTAGCGGTTTCGGCGCAAGGATGGCCGAGGCGGATACAACTCGGTCGAGTCGTATCCGACTCGGCTGATACTTCGAACCTTGACATTAATTGGTAATTTTGCCTTTACCTCAATGAGAGTGACATTTTTTTATCAAACTACATGTGTGAATACTCCAGAATAAAATGGTGTTGTTGAGCGAAAAAACCGTCATCTTCTTGAGGTTTCATTTATTAATGTTTGCTACGAATGTTATTCAAACATTTTTGGAAAGATGCAATTTTTACTGTTACTTATCTTATTAATTGTCCATCTTCAAGTGTTCTTCAATTTAAGTCACCTATTGATTGTCTTTCTGGAATTTTGTTGGTTTATTTTGTTCTTCCTTTCATCCTAAAGTTTTTGGGTGTGATTAATTCATTCATAACTATGATTTTGTTGTGTTTTTGTTTGTTATTCACCCACCTAAAAAGGTACAAATGCACAGTCTCAGAAGATGTATGTTTGCATAGATGTTATCTTTTGTGAGTTTAAGTCCCTTTTTTTCTCCTCCCCAACCATCTTTTGAGGGGGAGAACACCACTATTGAGAAAGAGATGGTATATCAAGAGTCCCTTCTTCAATTGTCTTTCCAGTAAGATACTAATAAGGAGGAGCAATAGATTTTTGGTACCAATGATCCACCAGGTATTCTGAAGACTTATTACCGACGTCAAAAGGTATAGATCACCCATGTGTCATTNTTTCCAGTAAGATACTAATAAGAAGGAGCAATAGATTTTTGGTACCAATGATCCACCTGGTATTCTGAAGACTTATTACCGACGTCAAAAGGTATAGATCACCCATGTGTCATTTAGTCAGTCGAATTCTTCTACTCTAGTTCTAGCATGCCCTATTGATTTACCAAGTAATGAGCTAACAACTGTCTTTCCAGTTATTCATAATCCAATTATAAATGATTTTGAACTTCGCATTGCAGTTATAAAGGGTGTTTGAGCATGTACTCAATTCTCCATCTCTAACTTTATCTCTTATGATTCCTAGTCTTCATTCTATCGTACTTTTGTTTCCTACTGCATNGAGCATGTACTCAATTCTCCATCTCTAACTTTATCTCTTATGATTCCTAGTCTTCATTCTATCGTACTTTTGTTTCCTACTGCATTCTATATCTATTCCTCAGGGTTGGAAGGAAGCTCTCACTAATCCAAAGTGCAGAGAAGCTACAATAGAGGAAATGAGAGCTCTAGAAAAAAATGACACATGAAAATTAGTTCCACATCCTGTTAAAGCAAGGGTAGTTGGGTGCAAATGGGTATTCATTGTCAAACAACAAGCTGATGGGACAGTTGAGAGATATAAGGCAAGGCTGGTTACTACTAAATTCACTCGACGTATGCATTAATTATCAAGAGATCTTTGTCCCTATGGCAAAGATAAACTCCATAAGTGCACTTCTCTCTTATGTAACTAATTTGGGGTGGAACTTGCAATAGTTGAATGTGAAAAATATTTTTCTCCATGGAGACTTGGTAAAGGAGGTATATATAGAGATTTCACCCAATTTTTCATCTCGAGTAATTGAGGGAAAGGTGTGTAAGTTGAAAAAGACACTTTATGGGTTGAAGCAATCACTCGGTGCTTGGTTTGATAAGTTTTTCAAAGTCATATTAAAATTTAGATACAAACAGAATCGTGTTGACTATGTTCATTAAACGGGTAGATGACAAGATAACAGTTCTCATTATATATGTGGATGATATAGGGATAATTGGGAATGATGTGCATGACATAACCGGACTGAAAGTTCAGCTGATTAAAGAGTTTGAAATTAAGGATTTGGATNAAACAGAATCGTGTTGACTATGTTCATTAAACGGGTAGATGACAAGATAACAGTTCTCATTATATATGTGGATGATATAGGGATAATTGGGAATGATGTGCATGACATAACCAGACTGAAAGTTCAGCTGATTAAAGAGTTTGAAATTAAGGATTTGGATCCATTGAGATACTTTCTTANTTGCTAAGTTTTTCAAAGTCATATTAAAATTTAGATACAAACAGAATCGTGTTGACTATGTTCATTAAACGGGTAGATGACAAGATAACAGTTCTCATTATATATGTGGATGATATAGGGATAATTGGGAATGATGTGCATGACATAACCGGACTGAAAGTTCAGCTGATTAAAGAGTTTGAAATTAAGGATTTGGATTCATTGAGATACTTTCTAANGGAATGATGTGCATGACATAACCAGACTGAAAGTTCAGCTGATTAAAGAGTTTGAAATTAAGGATTTGGATCCATTGAGATACTTTCTTATTGTTAGGTTTAGATTTTAGAGTATGGAGATAGAACAATTATGAGAGAAAACCAATATGAGAAAGGCAGTGAGTAGTCGCACATACCCTACCTATCACTCTCAACTTATATTATAGTTACCTAGGAAAAACATAAAAGACTAGTATACCTTTAGAGAGGTGGTATACTTATTACAACTATATAAAATATAATAATACTCCCAACTGAAGCATTCATTTTGAGGGGGTATACTTATTACAACTATATATGATCCTTGAATATTTCATTTTTGAAGTTGTTTATCGTATTTTGAAGTATCCTAAGTCAGATCCAAGGAAAAGGTTCTTATTCTCTAATAATGGTCACTTGAAACTGAAGCATTCACTAATAGAGACTAGGCAAGTTCAATGGATGACACAAGATCCATTTCGGGCCACTATACCCTGATAGGAGAAAACATTGTTGCACGGNTTATTCTCTAATAATGGTCACTTGAAACTGAAGCATTCACTAATAGAGACTAGGCAGGTTCAATGGATGACACAAGATCCATTTCGGGCCACTATACCCTGATAGGAGAAAACATTGTTGCACGGCGAAGTAAAAAGCAAGCAGTGATAACAAGGTCTAGTGAAAAGATTGAATACAGAGCAATGACTCATTGTGTTTGTGAGCTTACGTAGCTCCATATTTTATTGGGTGAGCCTAGAATTCGTGATGATGGGCCTATGAGACTGTACTGTGATAATAAAACAACTATCAACATTGTACACAATCTAGTTCAACATTATAGAACTAAACATGTTGAAATTGATCAATACTTTATCGAAGAGAATATAAACAAGGGTCTGCTTTGCATGCCCTTTATGAAATCAGAAAATCAGTTGGTTGATATTTTCACAAAAGGGCTAAGCAGTAAGTTTTTTTCATCCTTTCATTTGCAAGTTTGCCGTTAGAAATATCTACGCACCAACTTGAAGGGNAAAACAACTATCAACATTGTACACAATCTAGTTCAACATTATAGAACTAAACATGTCGAAATTGATCAATACTTTATCGAAGAGAATATAAACAAGGGTCTGTTTTGCATGCCCTTTATGAAATCAGAAAATCAGTTGGTCGATATTTTCACAAAAGGGCTAAGAAGTAAGTTTTTTTCATCCTATCATTTGCAAGTTTGCCGTTAGAAATATCTACGCACCAACTTGAAGAGAGTGTTAGGTTAAGTTGTATTTCTAGCTTAAGGGTATTTTTGGTGCTTTGTGGTTATATATAATTTGGGATGTAACTATGGACCCTAAGTCCTAACACATTACTTTCTTCTCGTAATCTTGTCTCTTTTCCTATTCTTCTTCTTTGCTCTTATTCTATACCCTAATTATTTCATAATCTAACTAATACCCTNTGCTTTGTGGTTATATATAATTTGGGATGTAACTATGGACCCTAAGTCCTAACACATTACTTTCTTCTCGTAATCTTGTCTCTTTTCCTATTCTTCTTCTTTGCTCTTATTCTATACCCTAATTATTTCATAATCTAACTAATACTCTATCTCTCTCTCTCCATATTTATATGTGTGTGTGTGTGTGTGTGTGTGTGTGTGTGTCCAATATTTTGTCCTAAGCCAACTCAGACAGACACGCCTATTATTAAGAAGTATGGGTTTGATGCTATGAAGCTTAATGCTGGGTTGGGTTGAGAAAGATTGTGCTTGGGGTTGGGTTGAGATTGAGACTCAATGGGGTGGAAAAAAGATTGTGCCTACAAAATACTTATAAATTACAGATGCTAACTGATTGATGAAGTAATTGTCATTGAATCTGCTGCAAATTTAACTCTATTCCAATGTTTTTTTCCTGAGCAGTGTTGATTATGATTTTCTCTATTTCTAATCCATTGCAATGGCCATTTTTTACCTGAGTTTTTCTTGCAACATATCTTCAATTATGCCATGTGTTAACTGCAGAGCTTAAAAGGATTGGTTGTCTCTAGATGATAATGAATTACTTATTTAGGGAAATATGATGAAGTTCAATGCATGTATCAGGAGTTTTGATGATGGGTTTCCGAATCTTTACATAAACAATGCACAAGATATCCGAGGCCAGCATGTGGCCTTTCTAGCATCTTTCAGCTCCCCAGCAGTCATCTTTGAACAGCTTTCTGTGATATTTGCTCTTCCGCGGCTGTTTGTTGCTTCTTTTACTTTGGTGTTACCTTTCTTTCCAACTGGTTCTTTTGAAAGAATGGAAGAGGAAGGGGATGTGGCAACTGCATTTACGATGGCAAGGATATTATCAAATATTCCCATATCTCGGGGTGGCCCAACTAGTTTAGTCATTTATGATATACACGCATTGCAGGTTATTTTCTCGTACACCGCATTTACTGTTCACTGAACTCGATATGAGTACATTATTCGATTTAGTTCGTTAATCTACGATTTTCTTTTGTTAAGTTTTTTCAGCTCTACGTTATTCCCCTTCTATAAGTTGGCCTCCTAATTTTAAGTGCCCGAAAAGTTCAATCTTGTTNGTACATTATTCGATTTAGTTCGTTAATCTACGATTTTCTTTTGTTAAGTTTTTTCAACTCTACGTTATCCCCCTTCTATAAGTTGGCCTCCTAATTTTAAGTGCCCGAAAAGTTCAATCTTGTTTGATTTAGGTACTATTCTAGTACTGAAGTTATNTTTTTCAGCTCTACGTTATTCCCCTTCTATAAGTTGGCCTCCTAATTTTAAGTGCCCGAAAAGTTCAATCTTGTTATCTCCTATATTCTCTTGACTTTCGTCACATTATCAGGAAAATTATTTTGTATTGTCCCTTGCACAAATTATTTCCTCTATATATATTTTGTGTAAGCTCAAAATCTGCTAAAAGTTTGCTTTCTTTGTCTCTATTACTTTACACATATAAGACAAGACAATTTGATCTGTCCATGTATTACTTTTTATTTTCATACAGGAAAGATTTTATTTTGGGGACCATGTTTTGCCTTGTTTTGAGACTGGGATTCCTCTGTTGAAGCAAAGACTTCACCAGCTTCCAAATACTGAGAAGGTTAGTATTTTTGTACTACGTAGCGTTGTTGCTGTTTCTTCAAGGTTGTCAACAACGGATAGCATTATTAGCATATATAAAATTATTTTGCCTTCTATTGTCCAGATTGCTATTACATTTGTTATCTATTATTTAATAGTTGTTATCTTCCAGATAGTTATTGCATTTCCAGATGATGGAGCTTGGAAGCGATTCCACAAGCAATTAGATCACCTTCCCATGGTTGGTTAAATTATAGCAGATACATTCAGATTTTCACTTTTATCTACTCTCATAATCACCTTGGATATTGAATAATTTGCAATGGCAGGTGGTGTGTGCAAAGGTTCGTGAAGGTGACAAAAGGATAGTGCGGCTAAAAGAGGGTAATCCAGCTGGGTGTCACGTAGTCATTGTTGATGATTTGGTACAATCTGGAGGTACCCTAATTGAGTGCCAGGTACTCCCTGTCAGTTTATTACTTTTCCCTCGTTTCTCTTAGAATTGTATATAGTTTTCCAGTAGTTTTATGAAGTAACAAAATATATTCATCAAGCACTGCAAACTAACACTATCTTATCTTCCAACCGTCAAAGTTGCTCTGGAAGTGAGTATTGCAGTGCATTCATTTGGTGAGACTGTTATGTAATCAGAACCAAATCATATCCTCATTCTCATACAATTTCCATCTAACAAGTTTAAGTTAGAGCTATTCCGAATTTGAACTTCTGAATATTTAAGGAAAGCAAAACGGCAAATGGCATGGACACTAATTTGGAAACACACAAATCCAATCAAGAAAGAACTAAACTTTCTAAAAGAAATTAAAAAAGGAAGTTTGTTCTTTCATTCAAGGGTTATCCAAGTACCTCTGAATTTAATGGGTAATTCATATGTTGGACAACATTGAAAAAATTACATATAATTTGATTACTATTTTATAACTAGTTATGGCTGAGACAATTTGGCTGTAAAGCTCCGAGACTAGGTTAGATTGATATGAAATCAGTAATTGTAAGGAAAATTGAGGGAATTAGTGGAAGAATAGAAAGGACTATTAGCTGTGTTCTTTTAATCGGGAAAAAATGCCGCAAGTTTGATGGATGGAGATTGAGATTAGTAGTAGGTAAAAGAAGAGGAGGAAAAGAAACAGCAAAGCCTTGTGAAGTGTCACACATTGATTTTCAGTAGGTTTCACAATCTTTGGTGCTAAGTGGTTTCATGCCAGCTATAGAACTGTTTGGGTTGCAGTATACATTATTCCAAGATATGAATAGACTTCATATGAAATTGTATTCTACAAGCTACTCCATATCTTTGTGATTCCATTTTATAATATTGATTTCCATCTCTAAAATCATGGCCTTGTACTCTAGATACATACCAATCAATGCAAAACCTGATTGCAAGATTGAGTTCACTTAAGAATTTATGACGTAACGGTTGTAACTCAAATTTCTGTTCTTTTGTTGCCTTTTGGCTCTACCAGAAAGTTCTGGCAGCTCATGGTGCAGTAAAGGTTAGTGCCTACGTAACCCATGGTGTCTTCCCCAAGTGCTCATGGGAGCGGTTTGTTCATAAGAATGACGGTAAGTACCTGCATACTCCAGCTTATATCTTCCTTGAAAATATGCACTTCTCTTGGGTTCTGATTGCCATTGTATTTCTTTGTGGAAAAGGACTGGGGAAGGCGTTTGCCTACTTTTGGATAACAGATTCCTGCCCCCTCACTGTGAAAGCAATTGCAAATAAAGCTCCTTTTGAAGTTTTAAGTCTGGCAGGATCCATTGCGGATGCTCTCCAAATCTGAATATGCATGATAGCACCATCTCTATCTGGGGGATGTCTGTTGTCTGAGCTTTTCCTATTTTCATCCTTGTAGAGAAGTGGTTAAAGTTTGACCACCCACGATTCTTGAGGTTGTCTGAGTTAACTGAGGACGATCAACTTTTAATGCTGAAAATTAGGTCTGTACCCGATCTATTCCTTGCAGATTGCCATTACTGAGACTAAATTGGGTGTTATTTTATTACATAATAAAAGAAAGTTGTCAGACTTCAACCCCTCTCTGTATTTGTTCTACGAGTCATTGTCGTCAAACTTGAAGCATTCCATGAAATGATATCTCAAATTATTGTTTGTGAACATACCATAATTTGAGATTGATACCTAATTGCAGTTATGTCTAGGCCAATTGATACCTAATAGTCCGGCAATGGTGATCACAGTTACTCGCCTATTGTAGAATCATCTATAACTTAGCTGCCACTATCATGTGTGTAAAGACTGATTGTATAGGTATACCGGAAACTGTTTGGCTAGTCAGGGAACCCTATATGAAGATAGAACTAATGAGACCCTCTTCTATTTATCAAGTGATAGCCATAGAATAGTACATTAGGTAATAGATGAATGGCAGTAAGCTAGCGATGAGAGAAATTATCTCTCCTTTCCTTGCGTGAGAGCTCTATAATGTAAGATAAGGTAGCCATCCAGCTTCATGGCTGTGCCATTTATTAGACACAAGGTACAAACAGTTTGGCCGTTTACACTGATTCTGACTGCCCTTTTGGCTACAGTAGAAAGTCTCATCCCAAACTTTAGCTGGAACTTTGAAATTCGTAGGGGATTGGTGTTGAGCTAACTATGTCGCAAACTCATTTATGTTACTTGAGTTAGTAACATCTAAAAGTCGTATCGCTTTGGTTAATAACATCCGATGTATTATGGTCCCTCTAAGTGCTATCATTTATTTGGCGTTGTTGGCTACCTCATGTATAAGTCAACAGTCAATCCAACCACCATAATTCATGTTCATGTACGAAGATTTTGAGAACTTCCAATCAATAACTGCAAATCAACCAAATTAAAATCAATAAATGAATGAATTTCGGTATGATGCCAATAGCCTCATCCAAGAAATATATGTATATATATATAATCACATCACGAGAGAGAGAGAGAGATGGATGGATTTATGTATGTACAATCACATATCAATTACACAGTTCGCTCAGGTACATTACACCCCACTGAATGCAGCACAAGTAATGGGTTTGTCTCCCTTCTATACACTTACTGCAAACAGCCTTTAACTCTATAGTTTAGAACTCCCCCGAGATATTTTACCCATATGCGCAAGTAGACAGAAAATACCCGACACCAAAAAAGTAGAAGATTGAAACAAACAAAAAAAATGTAGAATCCAAAAAGAGATATCATAGACAGCAGTGAGCAAAGCTATGCCGGTAGACAGCAGTTTTGGCTTGTCAATTGAATGCTTCACCTTTGTTCTTCTCTCCATGTTAAATATCAATTTGTTGCTCTACACATGAACAAAATTCTCCACCTCTTTTTTTGACGCACTTCTGGACGATACTAGGGAGTACCCATCAACCAAAAAGCGGGCACTGCCTAGTATTCAAGCAATTCCATGCATGCTCCCATTCCTCTNTTGTTGCTCTACACATGAACAAAATTCTCCACCTCTTTTTTTGACGCACTTCTGGAAGATACTAGGGAGTACCCATCAACCAAAAAGCGGGCACTGCCTAGTATTCAAGCAATTCCATGCATGCTCCCATTCCTCTTTTAAGTTTGTACACTTAAATACCTATACAATAGTTAGGACTCAGCCACCAGCTGATATCGTTGAGAATAAGATGTTCTAACCCAAAGTTTAGATAATCTCTCGCTTCTCTTCAACATCACCCTTTGGGCTTTCTAATGAATCTCCGGAGTAAGATCCATCTGGCTGGCGAATGCAGACGTTCAAATTGTTGGATAGTAATGGCTCCTAGATGATCCACAAATATCCCACAGTTGGTTAGCCAAAGATAAAAAATTAAAAAAAAGGCTTCTGTACATGTTTAAAAAAATAAAACGGAGTCTATACATGTTCCAATTTGCACCCCAATCTAACAACCACATGATGTCTTACATCAATGGTTTGGAAACTGGTTCAGTTACCAATGTCAACCTCCTTCCCTCCAGAGTGTAAATGCAGAAGAATAATGTTTTGCACAGCAAATCTTCCTCTTATCTCTTAATATCAATAGTAGAACAAATTAGGGAACACTTGATATTTGTGAAAAGTTCCACCATGTTTTCCCATCAATTCATTATATCTTTAGGCTTCAGTATGATATTACAAGGGAAGCAAGCTGATTGAACTAGAAAAAGAAGCTAGAAGAGAAGAATCATTGGACGGTCTTAATATGTCTCATAGATTAAATTTAATCAAACTTTCGCTTTAAACACATGCCACACTGCACTTTGTGAGAAAACTAACAAGAGTGGGAGAGAGCAACTACCTACACCATAAAATAGAAACGGAGTTGCATAACATGTGCATAATGCTGCCCACCTTCAGTAATGAATGAATGCCATAACAAAAAGGGACAGATGTGCAAATGGGGCAANAACGGAGTTGCATAACATGTGCATAATGCTGCCCACCTTCAGTAATGAATGAATGCTATCATAACAAAAAGGGACAGATGTGCAAATGGGGCAAAGAAAATCCAACATCGAGGCTGAAACCAATTGGCCAAACAAGCTGAGATTGACAAAGTTGCTGGGTCCTGGAACAGAAAAAAATACAAGATATCAAAGCCTTACTGCATTACCTGATCAATAATCTCTGGCCCCTCTGACTGGAAGAGAATTGGTCGGCACCTCTTGTCTTCATTCATTAGGCTTGAATTCTGGAAGTGTGTCACAAGGGCTGCCTTGCCCTGGATTCGTGCATAGGCTAAGGAAGCAACTTTTTCACTATTAAACTTTTCCCACTTCTTCCCATTGAATGCCTGCATAAGTTTCCAAAATTCAACACCTTAGCAGGAATCTACTTGGCAGATAAAATCTAAGACTCTGGCTCCCTAATCTGAAGTGGATTCATAAAACTACCTCCGGAGAACAGAACATCAGCCACGAGATAACTTCATAAAAGTAAACAAAAACAAGTAGAAAGCACCAATAATCTATACAAGATACAGTTGTATATACATGTACCACCACCTTCAATTCGGAGAAAAACAGAATATTGAGCATTGCCAACTCCTATGAATAAAACAGAAGACAGAAAAATGAACCTCATAGAAGGAGATAATGTGCGAAGGAGACATCATATTGATAAAGGCATAACCAACATTGCATTTATTCTGAAAACAAAGAAGGAAATTATTTCAGTCGTGGTCAAGTTGAATGAAATATAGAACGTTATTAGAGATCACCAATTTACTTACCTTAAAATCAATTGGCAAATAGAGAAAATCATAAGTACCCCTATGATTTTCATCAATAGCTGCCAGCAGCATCTTTGAAGTGTATCTGAAAAGAATACAAAATAATAAGGAAAAAAATCCAGGGAATATTTTTACCTAGGTTAAATGTACACATGTTACACACTCCACAATCATATAAGAAAATTAAGGAAATACTTATTGGGGATGTTTTTAATCATTAAAGTAGTCCTAGTATCGTCCCCACTGATGATCTTGTCCAAGTCAAGCTGATACTGCTTCTTGTTGTCTATCTGGTTCCCACTGTACTCAATCCGCCGACTTTGACGACGTTCAATCAATCCTTCATTGATGAATGCTCCCATTCCTTGATAAGGACCATTCCCAAATAATATTGGGTTATTCCTCGGCAATGAGATCATTCTGGAACCAGGTGAACCAATTTCATTCATGTGTCCAGGAAGAGCAACACCCACATTGATAGCCCCGCGGGCACCCATATTTATGGCATTTCCATTGATGCTACTCAAACCCCCACTCCCAAATGCAACTGGGCTCATGAAGGAGGATTCTGGTGACTCAGGGAAGTACCCAAAATGCCTGTCAAGAGCAACACCAGTTGGAGCAGATCCCACATGGTGGTGATGAGGTGAACCAAGGAATGAACCTTGCCGACTGGAGTATGAATAACCTTGTCCCTGTCCAGTGGACGTAACTGGATGTCCCACTGATGATGTTGGCCAGGCAGAAGAATTGGCATGCTCTGAGTAAAGAGTGGGACTTCCCCAGAGGAACTGAGGACCAGATAGCATTCCAGTCCCAGATGAATTGGAATTTGATTCACCAAAAGATGACACGGGCCTGGGGCTTGAACTTAATTTCTGCTCAGGAAAAGAATGAGAATCCTGATAAGCTGCTCCTAGTGATGCTTTAGCGTTGTTAGTTACCTGGTTCACATGACTAACCCTTAATTGGTCTTTACCGATAGGTGCAATCTTTGCCGGGTTTGACACATGGGGTGAAAGAATAGAGGCCAATCCAGGCAAATGATTGCTATTCATAGGGCTAAGAGATCCCAAACCTGGTGACCGACTAAAACCTTGCAAAGAATTGTGTTCAACTGGACTGCCGAAATGTGGCCAATTACCTGAGATGATTATGCCAATGTTTGAGCTTACAACATAAGATGCATTTACAGTATGAACAGGACCAGGAACCTAATGAGAATAAGCAATAATTTCTGCCACCTAAATAGTGTACAGCATGATGAGCATCCAAATGGATTTACCTGGAGGAGAGTTGGTAACTGGTGAACCGACAGGATGTCGAAGATTTCGAATTTCATCTTGTTCCAGCTCTTGACTTATTTGCTGCATCAGGCTAAACAATGAAAATCACAAATAAATTACTCTTTCTTTTAACTTACCAGTTACTTTGTAATGAACAATAAATTTAGCAAAAAACAATATCTTGAAAAGGTCGCTAAAATATGATGTGAACCTAATCAAGGCAGACAATAAAACCTGCAGGAAAGGCAATGTGACCATAAGAAGTCATAAACAGTGGCAGTTCAAAAGACATAATTTCAGTTTTTTTTTTTTTGGATCAGAATTTGAGTGTTCAAAAGCTATATATAACTATGCATACATTCCGTGACTGAAAGCCAGCATCCAATGAACTGCTACTTTGGTAATAACGCTTGAGTGTGGAACAAAAGGACCCCAAAAAAAACAAGAAACGAAACACTATTTAGCGCACAACAGGTTTGTGAGAAGCACCTATTGATAAAGATTTTAAGAAATAACATTCCAATAAAGTCATGGAAATCCCATATATACAGAGTAATAACCATATCACCCAATTTTTTTTTTCTATTTCATCAATCCTACTTCAGGATCATGTTTCCAACCCTATGTTGATGTTGCACTTCTTGTAATGCATGATACCAATTGTTAAATAGGCAATTCAGTTCTGAAGGTGGGTCTTACTCCCACAGAAAGAAATGTAACTGACCCGCAAAACACTTTACTTAGATTCCATTTCAACAATTATGGGCAGGAACTTTGTGCCAGTTGTTAGCTCTGTATGCAAGTTGGTCTTAGGTCCTTCACTTGCAGTATGCACTTAGGGGGAATGATCAGAGGGAGGAAGAAAGCAAAAGATGAAAATCCATATACAAAAAATAATAAATAAAAATCAAAAGCCCAGTTTCTTGAAAGTGAACAAAAGCAAATGCATAACGATATTTATTTAATATTTGATGCCAGTGATTGCTTTGTTCCGATCAACATTCTTCCTTGCGTTGAAGGAATTTTATCTCCTAAGCAGATTGCATCAACTAATAGCCTAGTAAAGCCCCCCCCCAAAAAAAAAAAAAAAAAAAACCAAAAGACATTCATGCAAATAAAGAAAGTCATCTTCATCATGTAAAATAGCACGTCTCAACCAGCCAAATATAATTGCATGTGCTTAGCCTCAACTCAATCAATAGGGGTCCCAGACTAGCTCAAGATAAAGCCCACCATGATTGACAACTATTCTAAGCCTTCAAAGACAACTTTAGTTGAATTATTTTGTTTGTTTTGGGGTGGTTTATTCACATAGTTGATAGAACCCAAAATATATCTTTGTGGACTTCCAGGGTGAGCAGGTTTTTGCTGAGGTAATCTAACCACGCTCAGCTCACCCTAAAAGGTTTTGATCCAAGCAGGCTGCTATCAGGTTAGGTCCTACATGACCCAAGGGAATTGAGAATGGATTATTGGTTATTAAGCTTCTAAATTATGATCTGTAATTGATGATAGCATGAGACAAAACATAATGATTAGAATCTCACACTGCCATTTCATTTGATAATTTGATATTAAAATGTTTCGCACATCGAGGTAAAAGGTTTGAAGTAGATATGTTAAAGTAGTGATATGTATAGATTAAAAGTTACGGCAATATAAATTTATAAGATACAATGAATTTACAGTCATATCAATACAATGAATTTTCCAAGTGATTTTTTATTTTTTTCAAATATCTCCAACATTTTTCGAAAGTTATCTCCTTCAAATTTCTAAAAGAAAATATAACTCAGTAACACTCCTTACAACTAATATAACTGAGAACTATCCTAATAAACTGCTAGTAGATGTCATACACTCCTATGCCCTTATTAGCTTCTTTGTGCTCTACTCACCAACAGAGCTTCCTACTTGTCAAAGCCAGGCAATTGATCGATGTAGATAACAGTATGCCCATCCCAATGAGAGGAGGACACTAACCACATATGCAGCTTTTGGGTGGTTGCGGCTTTTTTTCTTCATTTTGTGTTTTTGGTGTTGGGGGAAAAAAAGAGGGGGGAGGAGGGGTAGTGGCACCAGAATATGCTTCACTCCTGCCAACAATATCAAAGAGAGTTCCCACAAAGCTTCTTTTCGTAGAAAAAGAGTCAACATTAGTGTACTAAATTACACGCCCAAGAAGTTTCTTTTCAAATTTTTCTTGGATTTGGGGGAGAAGAAGTTGGGGCTCTTTGGAAAATGAAGTTTAGGCTGCAATTATGCCCCAGTTTTTATACTAGACCTACAAATTCCTCTAGAAAGGTACATCTAATAGTGAGTTGCAGCATCTTGGAGCATGTTGTATGTCAAACTAGGGTGCCTAAGGATGTGTACTGGTGTCCACCCACAAGCTAGTCAAACAACAATCCAACAGCCTATTGCATGGTTTCCATGGGAACCGCNATAGTGAGTTGCAGCATCTTGGAGCATGTTGTATGTCAAACTAGGGTGCCTAAGGACGTGTACTGGTGTCCACCCACAAGCTAGTCAAACAACAATCCAACAGCCTATTGCATGGTTTCCATGGGAACCACNATAATTTGATATTAAAATGTTTCGCACATCGAGGTAAAAGGTTTGAAGTAGATATGTTAAAGTAGTGATATGTATAGATTAAAAGTTAAGGCAATATAAATTTATGAGATACAATGAATTTACAGTCTTATCAATACAATGAATTTTCCAAGTGATTTTTTATTTCTNCGGGTTTGACACATGGGGTGAAAGAATAGAGGCCAATCCAGGCAAATGATTGCTATTCATAGGGCTAAGAGATCCCAAACCTGGTGACCGACTAAAACCTTGCAAAGAATTGTGTTCAACTGGACTGCCGAAATGTGGCCAATTACCTGAGATGATTATGCCAATGTTTGAGCTTACAACATAAGATGCATTTACAGTATGAACAGGACCAGGAACCTAATGAGAATAAGCAATATTTCTGCCACCTAAATAGTGTACAGCATGATGAGCATCCAAATGGATTTACCTGGAGGAGAGTTGGTAACTGGTGAACCGACAGGATGTCGAAGAGTTCGAATTTCATCTTGTTCCAGCTCTTGACTTATTTGCTGCATCAGGCTAAACAATGAAAAGCACAAATAAATTACTCTTTCTTTTAACTTACCAGTTACTTTGTAATGAACACTAAATTTAGCAAAAAACAATATCTTGAAAAGGTCGCTAAAATATGATGTGAACCTAATCAAGGCAGACAATAAAACCTGCAGGAAAGGCAATGTGACCATAAGAAGTCATAAACAGTGGCAGTTCAAAAGACATAATTTCAGTTTTTTTTTTTTTGGATCAGAATTTGAGTGTTCAAAAGCTATATATAACTATGCATACATTCCGTGACTGAAAGCCAGCATCCAATGAACTGCTACTTTGGTAATAACGCTTGAGTGTGGAACAAAAGGACCCCAAAAAAAACAAGAAACGAAACACTATTTAGCGCACAACACGTTTGTGAGAAGCACCTATTGATAAAGATTTTAAGAAATAACATTCCAATAAAGTCATGGAAATCCCATATATACAGAGTAATAACCATATCACCCATTTTTTTTTTTCTATTTCATCAATCCTACTTCAGGATCATGTTTCCAACCCTATGTTGATGTTGCACTTCTTGTAATGCATGATACCAATTGTTAAATAGGCAATTCAGTTCTGAAGGTGGGTCTTACTCCCACAGAAAGAAATGTAACTGACCCGCAAAACACTTTACTTAGATTCCATTTCAACAATTATGGGCAGGAACTTTGTGCCAGTTGTTAGCTCTGTATGCAAGTTGGTCTTAGGTCCTTCACTTGCAGTATGCACTTAGGGGGAATGATCAGAGGGAGGAAGAAAGCAAAAGATGAAAATCCATATACAAAAAATAATAAATAAAAATCAAAAGCCCAGTTTCTTGAAAGTGAACAAAAGCAAATGCATAACGATATTTATTTAATATTTGATGCCAGTGATTGCTTTGTTCCGATCAACATTCTTCCTTGCGTTGAAGGAATTTTATCTCCTAAGCAGATTGCATCAACTAATAGCCTAGTAAAGCCCCCCCCCCAAAAAAAAAAAAAAAAAAACCAAAAGACATTCATGCAAATAAAGAAAGTCATCTTCATCATGTAAAATAGCACGTCTCAACCAGCCAAATATAATTGCATGTGCTTAGCCTCAACTCAATCAATAGGGGTCCCAGACTAGCTCAAGATAAAGCCCACCATGATTGACAACTATTCTAAGCCTTCAAAGACAACTTTAGTTGAATTATTTTGTTTGTTTTTGGGGTGGTTTATTCACATAGTTGATAGAACCCAAAATATATCTTTGTGGACTTCCAGGGTGAGCAGGTTTTTGCTGAGGTAATCTAACCACGCTCAGCTAACCCTAAAAGGTTTTGATCCAAGCAGGCTTGCTATCAGGTTAGGTCCTATATGACCCAACGGAATTGAGAATGGATTATTGGTTATTAAGCTTCTAAATTATGATCTGTAATTGATGATAGCATGAGACAAAACATAATGATTAGAATCTCACACTGCCATTTCATTTGATAATTTGATATTAAAATGTTTCGCACATCGAGGTAAAAGGTTTGAAGTAGATATGTTAAAGTAGTGATATGTATAGATTAAAAGTTACGGCAATATAAATTTATAAGATACAATGAATTTACAGTCATATCAATACAATGAATTTTCCAAGTGATTTTTTATTTTTTTCAAATATCTCCAACATTTTTCGAAAGTTATCTCCTTCAAATTTCTAAAAGAAAATATAACTCAGTAACACTCCTTACAACTAATATAACTGAGAACTATCCTAATAAACTGCTAGTAGATGTCATACACTCCTATGCCCTTATTAGCTTCTTTGTGCTCTACTCACCAACAGAGCTTCCTACTTGTCAAAGCCAGGCAATTGATCGATGTAGATAACAGTATGCCCATCCCAATGAGAGGAGGACACTAACCACATATGCAGCTTTTGGGTGGTTGCGGCTTTTTTTCTTCATTTTGTGTTTTTGGTGTTGGGGGAAAAAAAGAGGGGGGAGGAGGGGTAGTGGCACCAGAATATGCTTCACTCCTGCCAACAATATCAAAGAGAGTTCCCACAAAGCTTCTTTTCGTAGAAAAAGAGTCAACATTAGTGTACTAAATTACACGCCCAAGAAGTTTCTTTTCAAATTTTTCTTGGATTTGGGGGAGAAGAAGTTGGGGCTCTTTGGAAAATGAAGTTTAGGCTGCAATTATGCCCCAGTTTTTATACTAGACCTACAAATTCCTCTAGAAAGGTACATCTAATAGTGAGTTGCAGCATCTTGGAGCATGTTGTATGTCAAACTAGGGTGCCTAAGGACGTGTACTGGTGTCCACCCACAAGCTAGTCAAACAACAATCCAACAGCCTATTGCATGGTTTCCATGGGAACCACTAAGTCCATTTCCTCAAGCTGCCTAATAATAATGATAATGATACTACCAATACTTATGCTAACATCCGTAGTTTTATCAGTGAAGTTTTCTCCACCATTACATAATCTGTCGCAGCACCAACATTACTACAGGTGGAACACCAAAGAACAATGAAATACTGTTGCACAATATCATGCTAAAACACTAGAAGTTCCACAAAGAAGCTGGCAGACAAAGTCAACTCACTAGAGTGAGCAGAAATTCCATAACATTTAAAAGCACATTGCATAGAGTGCGGCATATGATTTGCCATGAAGCCAAGAAGAAAATAGTTACCAGTTATGATGTAGTTGACCAAAGACGAGCTACAAAATCAAAAGTCCAAGTAAAATGTGACTAGTGTCTCATCAGCTTTAATTCAGAAATAGAACTTTTAGCACAGTTGAATTCACCAATGACTAGTATACATTCAAAGCTGGCAAAAGTTTGAAGTAACTACTCATCATCTTAGCCTATTTGTCGAAAGAACTGAGAGGGGATAAAGATCATAAAAGTAGTGTAATGCACAGGAATGTAACCTTCTTCGGACAAATATATGATAAATGGAACACTAATGGCAAAAAAGCATGACATACTTTCGTCGGGCTCCACCAGGCCGGCTGGGTTCAAGTTTTATGCGTTTCCCAGCAATATCACTCCTATTTAAAGATTTGAGAGCTGCCTCAGCAGCTCTAACATCATAAAACTCAATGAACTTATGATGCCGCTTGTGTGGTGTTTCCCTGATCTGCATTTTGCACATAATCCAGTACCCATGAAGGTTATCACATTAGTTAAGGACGCATTGACAAATTGGCTATGCTAAACTAAAACAAATACTAGGATGAAGAAACAGAACCTCTTTGACTTCCCCATAAGCCCCAAATATTTGACGAAGGTCATCATTGGATACTGATGCATCCAAATTGAACACCACCAGAGTTCCTTGATTAATATCTTTTTCTGAAGGGTTATCCTGGAAGTAGCAAAAAACATAATCGATTATACAGATGTTAGTGTATCACATATAACCAAAAGTGTCAAACTACGTCATAAGAGCTGATATTACAGTTCAAACCTTGGGAATTGAAAAGTGAATATCAAGCTTCCTTCGTCTTAATGGCTTATTTTGTAGTGCACGCATCGCAGTCCGAGCAGCACGGATATCATAGTAAGATATCATCACAAAGCCCCTATGCTTGCACGCAGTATATAGTGTTCTGATATCCCCATATTGCTGCAAGGAAAGAACCAGTTCATCATGAATTAGGATTCTTAGTCTAAGTGAAGCAATGAAAACAGAAATATGAAGAAAGAGTTGTATCGGAAGATAGCTCTGTACTTAATAGAAAGCAAAAAGGGAAACAAAACTGTAAAGCCGAGGAATCTTCTCAACCAAGTATTGAAAATTGAGTCAAATATCACATTTATTGCTACAACATGAGGAATGAGAACTTCATTATTCTAAAACCAACAAACNTCAATGAACTTATGATGCCGCTTGTGTGGTGTTTCCCTGATCTGCATTTTGCACATAATCCAGTACCCATGAAGGTTATCACATTAGTTAAGGACGCATTGACAAATTGGCTATGCTAAACTAAAACAAATACTAGGATGAAGAAACAGAACCTCTTTGACTTCCCCATAAGCCCCAAATATTTGACGAAGGTCATCATTGGATACTGATGCATCCAAATTGAACACCACCAGAGTTCCTTGATTAATATCTTTTTCTGAAGGGTTATCCTGGAAGTAGCAAAAAACATAATCGATTATACAGATGTTAGTGTATCACATATAACCAAAAGTGTCAAACTACGTCATAAGAGCTGATATTACAGTTCAAACCTTGGGAATTGAAAAGTGAATATCAAGCTTCCTTCGTCTTAATGGCTTATTTTGTAGTGCACGCATCGCAGTCCGAGCAGCACGGATATCATAGTAAGATATCATCACAAAGCCCCTATGCTTGCACGCAGTATATAGTGTTCTGATATCCCCATATTGCTGCAAGGAAAGAACCAGTTCATCATGAATTAGGATTCTTAGTCTAAGTGAAGCAATGAAAACAGAAATATGAAGAAAGAGTTGTATCGGAAGATAGCACTGTACTTAATAGAAAGCAAAAAGGGAAACAAAACTGTAAAGCCGAAGAATCTTCTCAACCAAGTATTGAAAATTAAGTCAAATATCACATTTATTGCTACAGCATGAGGAATGAGAACTTCATTATTCTAAAACCAACAACCACCAGACGGGTCAAGCCTCACTTCGGTATCTGCCACAATCATAGCAACAAGAAGTAAATTTTGTTAAGGGAAAGCCTCCAGGCTAGGTTGGGAAGGAGGGACGTTGCAATGCCATCCATACTTATAAAGGTATGTTTGGACGGCAGATGGCATGTTTACAGGAAGCTAGGTAACCAATGCTGGACATATAATGTAACATCTAGCCGCATCAATTAGATCAATTCTGCATTCTGATTCAAACTGCTTCAATAAAATTGAAACCCAAGGGGACGATGATAACATAAATAAGGATAAAAATAATACATAAAACTAGTATTGGTACAACTAATACATGAGTTGCGCACTAGTGTGAATTGCAGGCAGTTAAGTATTAGGGTAAAACATCTTCAGCTTACCCATACCTTTTAGGTGGTGAGAAGTCTTAAACCAGAGGTATAACTTTAGCCCCCAAATAGCCATATAGTGATTTAGTGAACAGAAAAAAAACCATGTAGTCTTTATTATCATGCTCTTTAAAAAGAATCTTTTTTATAAGGGCTGATTTTTATTTTCCAAAAAAATATATGAGCTGAATAATGCATCAGTAAATAAATACAGGTCCACCCCAAATAGTTAGGATTAAGGTTTTGTTGAGTTGAGTAGTTGATGTATCAAGCAAATGAAGTTACCAACGTAAGGAGATTAAGAAGCAAACAAAATACATGGCAAGCATCATAAATGGAACAAGTGAAGGGCCAAAAGGCGATAACACTACCAAATGAAATCTAATGGTCTCTGGCTGAAGTGAGCTACCTCAAAGAGAGATCTCAGCTCAGAGTCCTCAACATTACTGTTGATATTTCGCACAAATAATGTCCTCGAAGGATGTTCACCATATGGATGTTCTCCAGCAACAGTTCCCACCCCATTTGGAAGACCATAATGCCCAATGCCATTTCCAAGAACCCCATCAGACAAGATTAAGTTTGACATACCAATAGTTAGGCTCTCTTGGGATTCAAAATCCATTTCCATCCCCCCTACACTGCCAAAAAGATCATCTTCCAAGTCCTCCAGTTGGGTAGGCAACCCACTGAGGTCAAAATCATCCATAATGCCAGCTAACAGCTCGTCTGCATCATCAGGAAGCAAGCTTCCAATTCCATTTGGCCCAATATCTTCAACTGCATGTTTGCCTCCATCTTCTTCATTAGGTTTGTTTAGGTTATGTAAGTCCTCACCAACAGATTGACCAAAATTCTCCGAATCAGTAAAATTCACTGCATGACGATGGAAACAAGTCTCAGAAATCATCCCAAAGTAAACAGAATTTACCACATTGTTGTGAACCAAAAAAAAAAAAACTCAAACGTACACTTCTCATGCGGGAGTACAGGTAACGAGCTAGAAAACAAGCTAGCATCACCTGATGCAGGACACTCATTTGTTCCATTTGTGATTCCCCATGCACTTACCACTTTCCTAGGAACATTAGCTGATATCGTTCTAAACGGACCTAAAAACAAATATGAAGAACTGGTCAAGAGGAACAAAATCTGTGAAGTATAAGCCTGTACAACGGATTTTTATATGTCCATATCCAATCTTTTGAAGGTCGAAATGAAAAGGGCACCTCCAGTATCAGCTGGAATAGAATTACTTGATTGCCGCTCCATCTAATCACTCTCTGCAGACACAATACATGTCAAAGGAAGCTGAGGTAAAGCTATTGTAACATTCTCAATTCAATGAAGTTTCCTGAGGCTATCAAAAAGATAAAAATAAGAAGATAGGTTAACATAAAAGAGTAGGCAGAAAGTAATAAAATAAAGAGACATGCAACATTATAACCATTCTAAGAAATATGCTCCACCAACACAAAACAGTAAAAATACTTTACAAGCACACCATCAAAACTATTGGGTGAACAATTCAAGTATAAACGTGGTAAACTATTGGTATATCTACTCCGAGCCAAGTAGTCTTAAGTGGGGATTTGAACCCGCTGAAAATTACAAAAATTCTTGTGCACTCTGGAAAATCTTTTAGGTTGTGTCATTTTATCATGATCACCCCCAATAAACTCACTAGCATCAAAGAGATGAAATTCTATTTGAATACTACAAAGTAGTAGAATGGGTTTATAAATCAAAAATGGTCAAAAGCTAATAAAAGATGGTGATTTATTGCTTTGCTTCAAAATGAAAGAGAAAAAAAAAACAAAAAGGATAAAAAAGATGACACAAAGGATATATCCATTCGTCATAGAAGGAACTTCATCATATGTGGTGAACAGCTGTCTTAAATAGGCAACGGTAACCACATGGTATGATCCTCAACAGTGAAATGGTTCAATTTTCTAATTTGAAAAGCTGATATATATTTGTATTTGATAGCCTCTGGTTTGGCATTAGACAAGAAAGCGGATCAAAGAGCCTATTGCTGTTTACATCATTTGGCAACTTATATTATTTATGCTTTCAGACGGAAATTAGTCATATCTAGATCTATTAGAAATATGAGAATGAAGTGTCTCATAGAATGGATTAAAGAACATAATAACAATTTAGTCCTGGAGAATGTAGATACGCCAAGCCAATCCCAATAACAAGGCAAAGGGCCAAGCTTTGTGTTCAAGGCAAAAGGAAGCTATTCCAGCTCAAGCTTAAACTAATTCCATGACACATTGTTCCAACAAACTTTACCCATTACTACTATTAATCAGGGGCGACATGAAAACCCCCTATACTAGTCAAATTAACTCGTCATTACATCTAGAATCTGCTCCCAAAGATGAGTCAAAGATCAAAGCCCCAGCACACTTTAATATCTACACAACTCATGTAAAAATTCAACACAATTAAGCAGAATCCAACACGATTAAGCAGAATCCATATGACAACGTCATAAAATTTACCTGGTCTCTGTTAAACTTGTCCCAATTTCCAAAATTATCACCTGAATTAGATAAAAAAAAATATTCAATTTCCAAGAAACACAAATACCCAGAAACAAACGCATCAAAACAGAGCTGACAAGCAAGCAAAACCCAATTGAATTTCACACCATTCATACTTTTTTGTAGTCATTGTGTTTGGCAAATAAAGAAAAATTTACAGGAAGAATCAGCTATACATGCAAACATACAAGATTTACATCAGTAGCCAGGAATTAATCAATCCCTTCGACTAAATAAACGAAAAACAAACACATAAAAATCACAGCCACTCGGAAACGACGACTAATAACCAAGTGAAATTCAGAGAGAAAGAGAGGGGGAGAGAGAAGCACCTATACAGAGAACATCTATGAATCGCTTACTGCCAAAAGAGAGAGGGATGGGTAAGAAAACTAAAAGTCGTCGTGAAGAAGAGAAAGTTATGCACAAACAACAAACGTGAAGAAAAACAAAGAAACAGTTTGTTTCGTAGAAGTAGAGAAATTGTTTCCGTCTACTCTATTGCTTCCTTCTCTCCCGCCGGGAGACTAGTGAGAGAGAGTAGAGAGCAGACAAACTAGAAAGAGAAAGAAGAGAGAGAAAGCCAAACACGTACACAAACACAGTGGACCATGATTGGAGGGAAAGGAGAGTATAATTACAGAAAAATTATTTAATGTTTCTACAATAGATGCGCTCTCTCTCTCTCTATCTGGCGGAGAAACACATTCTCTCTCTACTTTCTCTCTCTAGGATTATTTGGCTGCATTTGAATTTGTTTTGGCGTCCGTTGACACTAACTGCCAATTGGCCCAGATAGACGATTTGGGGTTAATTGATAATTTTTTTCCGGTAAGTTAATTAACAATTTACCCCTCAAGTTTGTCGTGATTGGGATGATGATACCTCGTGTATCCCTAATATAAAATATTAGTTATTGTCTGTATTTAAAGATATAGAATAATAATAAATAATAAATATACTTGTAATCATATATCAAAATTAAATTATAAATATAGAGGAGAGAAAGATAAATTTAAGCATCGATTATAGTGAGAGTAAGAAGTGGTGAGCGGCAGTGGTAGTGGTAAAAGACGGTAATGGTTGTGGTGGCAGTGACAATGACAGTGGTGGTGGCGACGACGACAGTGATGATGGTGACGACAGTGTTGGTGGTGGCAATAGTGGTGGCGGTGGTGGTGGTGACGGTTGCAGTGATGGTGGCGGTGGAGGTAATGGTGGAGCGGTTTCAAACACTATTTTTTTTAAGTATTTATGAGAAATGATTCATAAAAATGTTTTTAAAAAGTCATTCCAAATACACTCTTAGGGCCATATTTTTCTTATTAAATTTAGGGTGTAAATATTAGCTGTTAGATTAACTTTAAAATAAAATTTAATGCAATCTCAACCGCGAATAACAAAAGTCATTTTGTTTATCTTTTGAGATTTGAATTGTAAGCTACTTTATTATATAGACTAATTATTGTATGTGTTTGAAGTCACAAAATAATAAAAAATAGTGAACAATAAACGTATTTGTATTTATATCCAAAATTAAATCACAAACATAGAGAAGAGATAAATGAATTTAAGCATCGTTTTATAGTAGGGGTGAGAGGTGTTGGGCAATAGTGGTGGTGGTAGGAGACGGTGATGGTTATGGTAGGTGACAATGAGCGTGGCGGCGGCGGCGGTGACAGTGGTCTAACGCCCCAAAAACTACCTTAGACGGCATTACAATCTAAAAATCATTCACATCATGAGAGCATAAAACTAGATTTCACAATGTTCAGAATAAATATCCTAGTCTAGAACAAAAAAAGTATCGCTCTAAGCGTCCACCTCGGGATTCACACTCCCGCCTATCGGAGTCTCTCAGTGTTCGGGCTCCTCGACTCCAAGCTCTTCCTCGAGAGGATAATTTGTAAAGGTTGTTAAATAGGGGGTGAGCACAAAGCTCTGTAGAAAAATTCTTCCAAACCCGAACAAGGTTTAGAAAAGCATATAAAATGGTCGGTCTTATTTTACAAATAGCATATATAACTTTTGAAGAAAACAGGGACATTTGAAACAGATCTCAAATTTAAGTAATAACAATAATTTAATGAATAAAAGAACTCAATATACAATTAATAATTCATTTCACCATAAATCGTTTATCACAAATTCTTGCGGAATCTCATACTTCCCAAGATTTTTGTAGAAACCATTTCTGAGAGAATAAACAATATCTCATAACTTGAACATTTCACAACAATATATATATATATATATATATATATATATATGTATTTCAACCATGATGTAAAGCATCCACATGAATCAACACATTGAGTAACATCTAGCCCACACACAAACACCCAAATCTTCTTAAAGATATCCAACCTATAGGAAGGACGTATACCACACCAATGGCAGTAACGTATCCAACTCGGGCATTAGTATACTAACCCTCCACCTCGATACCCGTGAGCAATAGCGATTTAGTTTTACCAAAGCACTAAGCCCACTACGAGTGGTAGAAAAAATTCAAACTCGCACAAAGTATGAAGAACGTCTACCCACTCTACGATATCTCGTCAAAGGCCACCCATGGTCTTCCATACTCATAAGAGATACAATATCAAACTCATTTTCTCAATTTACAAGCATATCTCAAAAATCTCCAAATTTATCATATGACAATTTCAACAATCAATTAAGAAAAATACAAGAGATCACAATAAACATCATTTATTACTCACACAAAGCACTATAGTTTCGAAATCAATAATAAAGGAAGAATTTAACAAGAAAATCTATCACTCTAAAAAAAGTAGGGTTTTAAAGCAAAAAAAGAGATTTTATGGGTGTTCAACCCTAACTTTGTTCAAAACATGTAATCTTTGCAAAAAAAAATCTAAGAAATGATGATTTCATATCATATATATGACATTTAGAGGCAAAACATACATATATAAATACCCTAATCTCAATGAACAAGGATGGAAGAAAATCACTACCTTGTAATCAAGAATTTCAAATCAAAAGTCCAAGCTTTGAAGACCTTCTTTCTCTCTTTGCTTTCTCTCTTTATCTTCTCCTAGGGTTCTAAAAGGTTTGTGGTGGAGTGGAATGAAAGAATGGGACAAATGGGGCTTATAATGGTGTTTTAAAACGTATAAATCCTGATTTTTTTACTGTTCGGCAATCTTCAGATAAAGCATACCGGTAATGTTCAGCTACTGGAGTTCGGCATATCGGTACGGTTTGACTGATAGATTTTTGCTTCAACTTTCAGCACATTTTTGGCGCATTTAGAGGTCGAATTAAAAATTTTTTGTGAAATACACTTTTACAGACCTAGATGTCTACTATCTACTATCCAAATTTCAAATAAAATTAATATCAGGATAAAAAGTTAAGGCCAAAATACTAGATAGTGTTCAAGATTCTTTTTTACCCAAACTCTCTCTAAAGTGTGCTTTCACTCCGGACTATTTCCANCCAAGCTCTTCCTCGAGAGGATAATTTGTAAAGGTTGTTAAATAGGGGGTGAGCACAAAGCTCTGTAGAAAAATTCTTCCAAACCCGAACAAGGTTTAGAAAAGCATATAAAATGGTCGGTCTTATTTTACAAATAGCATATATAACTTTTGAAGAAAACAGGGACATTTGAAACAGATCTCAAATTTAAGTAATAACAATAATTTAATGAATAAAAGAACTCAATATACAATTAATAATTCATTTCACCATAAATCGTTTATNTAAAAAGTTAAGGCCAAAATACTAGGTAGTGTTCAAGATTCTTTTTTACCCAAACTCTCTCTAAAGTGTGCTTTCACTCCGGACTATTTCTAAACTTCTATAACATACCCTATTATCTCAACTAACATTTTTATCTTTACTTTTACGATCTACATAATTCATGCATATTTCATTACATCTATTAGCATTTTCAAAAACATAATTACTTTACTATATGATAATAAGAATGTGGGGGTTTACAGGTGGCGACGGCGGTGGCGGTTGCAACGACGGTGATGGTGGAGGGTGGTGGTGGTGGTGGTAGTGGCAAGGGGTGGTGGCAGTGGTGGTGACGGTCGCGACGACAACGATGGTGGCGGTGATGGCGACGGCAATAACGGTGGTGGCAGCGACAGCAATAGTGGTGGCGATAGTGTTGGCGGCAGTGGTGGTGGTGGTGGTAGTAGTAGAGGTAATGGTGAGACTGTTTCAAATACTATNTCTCATAACTTGAACATTTCACAACAATATATATATATATATATATATATATATATATGTATTTCAACCATGATGTAAAGCATCCACATGAATCAACACATTGAGTAACATCTAGCCCACACACAAACACCCAAATCTTCTTAAAGATATCCAACCTATAGGAAGGACGTATACCACACCAATGGCAGTAACGTATCCAACTCGGGCATTAGTATACTAACCCTCCACCTCGATACCCGTGAGCAATAGCGATTTAGTTTTACCAAAGCACTAAGCCCACTACGAGTGGTAGAAAAAATTCAAACTCGCACAANATTTTTTTTTCAAACACTATTTATGAGAAATAATTTCTAAAAGTATTTTTAAAAAGTCATTGCAAACACACCTTATGGGCCTATTTTTTTTTATTAAATTTAGGGTGTTAATATTAATCGTTAGATTAACTTTAAAATAAAATTTAAAGCGATCTCAACTGCGAATAGCAAAAGTCATTTTTTTTATCTTTTGAGATTTAAAATGTAGTTATTGCCTGTGTCTAANACAAGAAAATCTATCACTCTAAAAAAAGTAGGGTTTTAAAGCAAAAAAAGAGATTTTATGGGTGTTCAACCCTAACTTTGTTCAAAACATGTAATCTTTGCANTTTTTTTTTATTAAATTTAGGGTGTTAATATTAATCGTTAGATTAACTTTAAAATAAAATTTAAAGCGATCTCAACTGCGAATAGCAAAAGTCATTTTTTTTATCTTTTGAGATTTAAAATGTAGTTATTGCCTGTGTCTAAAGACACAAAGTAATAAAAAATGGTAAATAATAAATATTTTTGTATTCATATCCAAAATCAAATCACAAACACAGAGAAGAGATAAAATAATTTAAATATCAATTTATAGTGGGGGTGAAAGATGGTGGGCGACAATGGTGGTGGTAGGAGATGGTGATGGTTGTGATGGGTGACAATGATCGTGGTGGTGGTGGTGGTGGGGGTGGCGACGATAACGGCAATGGTGGTGGTGGTAGAGGCAACTGCGACAGTGATGGTAGGGATGGCGGCGATGGTGGTGATGGTGGCGGTGGTGACAACGGTGGTAGTGATGGCGATGGTGGTGGCAGCGGTGATGATGGTGGCAATGGCCGTGG